TGGCTTTCCAACTCCAGGTCTTTGCATATTTCATTATAATAATTGACTTTGCCTTCTCTAGCTGCTCTTTGAAATCTTCTGTTCAGTTCTTTTATCTTTTCACTTCTTCCATTTGTTTTAGCTGCTCTCTGTTCAAGAGCAAGTTTCAGAGTCTCTTCTGACTTCCATTTTGGTCTTTTCTTCCTTTCTTGTCTTTTTAATGACTTTTTGTTTTCTTCATATATGATGTTCTTAATGTCATCCCAAAGTTTGTCTGGTTTTCAGTCGTTGGTGTTCAGCTCATCAAATCTATTCTTTAGATGGTCTCTAAATTCAGGTGAGATGTAATCAAGGTCATATTTTGGCTCTTGTGGACTTGTTTCAATTGTGTTCAACTTCAACTTGCATATGAGCAGTTGATGATCTGTTCCACAATCAGCTCCTGGCCTTGTTTTGGCTGAAGATATTGAGCTTCTCCATCACCTCTTTCCACAGATGCAGTTGATCTGTTTCCTGTGTACTCCATCTGGCAAAGTCCATGTGTATGGCCACTGTTTATATTGTTGAGAAAAGGTATTTAAAATGAATAAGTCATTGGTTTTGCAAAGGTCTATCATGCAATCTCCAGCATAATTTCTACCACCAAGGCCATATTTTGCAGCTACCAGTGATTCTTCTTTGTTTCTAATTTTTTGCATTCCAATCACAAGGAATAATCTACAAATCTTGATTGCATGTTTGGTAAATTTCAGACTGCAGAAAATTGGTAAAAATCTTTAATTTATTCTTCTTTGGCTTTGGTGATTGGTATGTAAATATGAATAATAATAGTATTAACTGGTCTTCCGTGTAGGCATATGGATATTATTCTATCACTGACAGCATTATACTTTGGGATATATCTTGAAACATTTTTTGTGAGAATGAATGCTACACCATTCCTCTTTAGTTTGTCATTCCTGGCATAGGAGATCATAAGTTTGTCTGATTCAAAATGTGAAAGAGTAGCTAACTGCTATGTTTTCCACTAACATAAACTGCATTTTGGATGTGTTTCTTTTCTATTTGTGAAGACTCCTGATTGATTGCAACTAAGACTCAAACTAAGCATTTTGTGCATTAGTGGGTGAGACATGCCTTATTTCATGGTCTCTCGGCTGGTAAAATTTGCAAAGAAGTGGTGTGACCTAATCTTGAGTGCTCAATAAACCCAGAACACAAACCCACTCCCATTGAATTGATTCCAACTCAGCAACCCTATAGAACAGAGTAGAACAGTTTCATTGGGTTTCCAAGCCTATAAATTATTATGGAAGCAGATCGCCACATCTCTCTCCTATGGATGGCTGGTGGGTTTGAACTACTGACCTTTGGGTTAGCAGCAGAGCGAGCACTCAACCCTTGTGCCACCAGGGCTCCTTTAAATATGCTTTGTCAGTAGTTGTTTGCTTTCCTGATCACAAGAAAAAGAAACTTTAATTTAAAAGTTTCTCTTTCAATTGATCCCACTCCATTGCAGAGCCATTGTGTACACCTGTGCAGTCTTTTCTACACAATTCCAAGTGCACCATTCACGTGGACTGCAACATCAATAGTGCCTCCCTACTCTATGACCAACCTGGATTCTTCAAAGTAGTGGTCTGACCCTGTGCACAAAGAATATATATTTTTAGTATGGCTGGATAATTAATTTACTACACTCAGTTCTGGGGAAGAAAACAGAGCTGTTAACTATTTTCATGTTATCAACATCTCAAACACTGTTCTTTATTGAAATTTGGTAATTGTACTACATATTACAGAAAAACAAAGGTTATCCAAATGGCTCCTTAGCCTTGAAACTAAATCAGGCAAGGGTGATGTTTTATACATTTTATTTCATATTTCTGGTTGTTGGATTTTCCACTCCTTTTATGTTCTTCTAAGGTTTTCAGTGATGGATTACCCACAAAAAGAAGTGAAGGATATGAGTATAAGATTTCTTTAATAGTTTCTATCAATCTTCTTACTTATAAATTCCCTAGAAATGTCTTAAAAATGTTTTTTTCATTAATATATCTTTTTAAATAGCCATTTCAGTGAGATATAATTCAACCACAAAATTCACCCATTTAAATGACACATTTCAATGTTTTTTAGTTTATTTGCAGAGTTATGAAACCATCACCACTAGCTAATTTTAGGATATTTTCATCACCCCCAAAAGAAACCCCAAACTCATTAGTGGTCACTTGCATCACCTCTTTTCCCTCCCTCTCCCAGTCATAGGCAATTAGTAATATATTTTCTGTTTCTATGGATTTATCTGTTCTTGAAAGTCATGAAAATGGGGTTATATAATACGTGCTCCTTTGTGACTGACTTCTCTTACTTAGCATAAGGTTCAAGGTTCATACTTCTTATAACATGCATTGATATTTTATTACTGAATAATATCCTGCTGTATGGATATACCACATTTTGTTTATCTATTCATCAGTTGTTAGACAATTAAAAAAAATTTTTATTGTGATATGTGTGCAAATTTACAAAGCAGATTCATTTTACACAGAACAGTTCATGCACATCTGATTTCAAGACCCTAATTACAAACCCCAACTATACAAAGCTCTCCTCTGACCTCCTTCCTGTGACTACACCTTCCCTGTGCCCTTCTTATCTATGCATTCCTGTTTATCCAGTTTTCCCTCTATGCAAATGCTGCCATTGTGATGTCTCATGATTGATTGATCTAGAGAATGCGTCTCCCTGGGGTAGGTTCTGCTTGTAGGTCTTTCTACTGATTGGCTAAGAGCTAATCCATGGAAGTGAGTTCAGTTCCAGGCCTGAAGGATAACCTGGGGCCATAAGTCTCGGGGGTTCCACCAGCCTCTATCTGACCAGTAATTCTGGTCATTCTTATGTTTTTGAATTTTATTCCACATTTTTCCTCCCACTCTATCCAGGATCTCCAATTTTGATCCCTTTCTGAGTGGCTGGCATTGGTAGCTGGGCATTTTTGGCTATTATGTATAATGCTGCTATGGACAGTTCTGTACAGGTTTCTGTGGACATGTCTTTTTATCTCTCTTAGGCATGTGCTTAAGAGTTGCATTGCCAGGTCATATGATAACTCTAGGGAGCTCTGGTAGCATAGTGCCTAAGGCACTTGACCGCTAACCATAAGGCTGGCGGTTCAAACCCACCAGCCACTCCTTGGAAGGAAGGTTGGGCAATCTACTTCCATAGTAATACTGCCTCGGAAACCCAAGAAGGGGTCGCTATGAGTTGGGTCTGACTGGACGGCACATAACAACAATAACATGATAACTCTGGTGGCATAGTGGGTAAGGCATTTGGATGCTAACCAGGTCAGTGGTTGAAATCCAGCAACTGTCCACATGGGGAAGATGAGGCAATCTACTTCTGTAAAGAATTACTTTGGAAACTCAATGGGGGTTGCTATGTATGAGTCGGAATCAACTTGACGATAATGTTTTATTTATTATTTTATTTTTTATGGTAACTCTTTGTTTAACATTTTGAGGAGACATCAAACTGTTTCAAAGTGGCTGCACCATTTTGTGTAGCAATGCTCGAGAGTTCCAATTTCTCTACATACTTACCAACACTTGTCATTTTCTGTCTTTTTTATTTTAGTGATCAGAGTGGGGATGAAGTGGTATCTTATTGTGGATTTGAGTTTCATTTCCTTAATGACTAATGAGAGGGATATCATGTTTGGTAAAATAGAGGGTAGTGAAAAAGCAAAGGCTCTCAACAAATAGACTGACACAGTGGCTGCAATGATAGACTCAAGTACAGCAAGGATTGTGAGGATGGTGCAGGACCAGGTAGTGTTTTGTTCTGTTGTATATAGGGTTGCAATGAGTTGAAACCGACTCAATGACACCTAACAAAAACAACAACAATGACTAATGATGTTGGGCATGTTTTCATGTGCTTATTAGTTATTTGAATATCTTTGGGAAAATGTCTATTCAAGTCCTTTGCCTATGTTTTAATTATATTATTTGTCTTTTTATTGTTGAGTTGTAAAAATTCTTTATATATTCTGGATAACAGCCCTTTGTAAGGTTTATGATTTGCAAATATTCTCTCCCATTCTGTGGGTTGTCTTTTCACTTTCTTGATGGTGTCTTTTGAAGCACTTAAGTTCTTAATTTTGATGAAGTCCCATTTATTTTGTCTTTTTTTACTCATGCTTGTGGTGTGATACCTAAGGAACCATTGCCTATTTCAAAGTCATAAAGAAGTACTCCTTTGTTTTCTTCTAAGAGTATTATAGTTTTAGCTCTTATATTTAGGTTTATGATCCATTGTGAGTGAATGAATGTATATGGTGTGAGGTATTCCTTTTCTTTTAATCCCTAAGAACATAGTACTTTAGAATGATCTTCACTAGGTTTGATATAAAAAATTTTGATAAGAAGTTTATTTATTTATTTTGTTTTGTTTTGTGTGGTTTGATTATTATTTTAGACTCATAACATTCATGGCAAACTGCATGTATTATATCATCAAAAATATACCTCATTTGCAATGTGCTCATTCTGTCTATTTGATAAGCAGAGAAATCTAAGCATGGGGTGACTTAACAGGAATGGCTGCCAATGGCAGTTGAGATAACATTCATTGAAAGATTATGAATAATATCTTGATTACAAATAAAAGCTTGGTCTCATATTTTTAGCCCAGAATTGGCTAAGACTACATATAATTTTTTAGTCTGATTAATGGCAGAGTAACTAATTAGAGTGGTAAGCGACTAGCAAATCATTCCAGATGTCAAGTGCAGTCAAAGTGCCATTTTGTCATACATAATATAGTAGAGCTCATAGCGACAGGTGTGAATAATAAATAGGAATTGAGAACACCCAGGAAAAGCCAAGGTAATGATTTTAAAATCAGGATCATTTGGTTAGGTTTTATTTTCTTCCCCTGAATTTTCATAATGTTGAATTGGCCTTTGATTTATTGACATTCTAAGATTTGGTGTGAATTTTATTTTTGCTTTGCAGGATGCACAAAATCAGAAATTGAAGACAAGTGTATGGTACCGAGAGGTAAGTAACTATGTTTCATTCATGCATGCTGGACTCCTGATCTGAATCAGTTAAAAAAATATACTATTCTAAGGAACAAATATTATCAGTATGTCTGTAGCTTCACACATTTTACATGGATTCTAAAGAATTTATTAGAATCCATGTTAATATGTGCCATTGTTTCTGGCTGGGGCTGCCATCTTTAAGAATTGGATCAGAAGGGTTCTGCCCCACCTAACATAGTACCAAATCTCTCCTCAGTTCTTTGGTGAGGTTGACACTGCTCCATTTTGATATGCTTCTTTTTTGACTGCTCCTGACAGGTTTGGGATGATGAGTTTTTGTCTTGGAACACCAGCATGTTTGATGAAATTAGAGAGCTCTCCCTACCTCTAAGTGCCATCTGGGCCCCTGATATCATTATTAATGAGTTGTAAGTATGCTGAGTGTATTTCTACGAGGTTTATACTGCTTAGAATGCCTAGAATATTCAAGTCTCCAATTGTTGTCTTCTTGCAGTCAGTGTCATTATTATTTTTTTGTTTCTGAACTTCTTTTCTGAACCATAAAAGGAGCATAATTTGGGGAATATTCAGGGATGGAATACCATGAGTCAACATCATTTGAGATGTATATTTGGTTACTAAAACTTGAAGTTACTCTTAGATTGTATCTGTGTTATAGGAATAAAAAGTGAGTAAACTTGCTGTCATTACTGAGGCCACCTTTCCCATGGCTAATCATCTCAAGGGAAATGTGATTCTATCTTTGTAGTGTTAAACTAGCCCTAGGTGTCATGGTCACTACCAACTCATAGTCAGTTCTGTTTATGTTTTGAAATGACTGAAACCCTGTCTATAACAACAAGTTTTTTATGTTTCATATAGTGTGGACATTGAAAGATCACCTGACTTTCCCTATGTTTATGTGAACTCATCTGGGACCATTAAGAACTTTAAGCTCATCCGGGTGGTGTCTGTATGCAATTTAGAGACATACGCTTTCCCATTTGATATCCAGAATTGCAGCCTAACCTTCAATAGTGTTCTGCACACAGGTAAACCATGGGAGATGCGGGCTACTAATAGGAAAACACACCTATGCAGTGTTGGTGCACATAGGTGAAATTATATTATGCCATCCATCAGGTAAATTTTATTCTTGCCCATAATTGACTTTTTAAAAAATCTAAACCCTTTTTTGCAGCTATTCTGTTCCTGCCATAAATCAGACCAAGTAGAATGTTCTGTTTAGATATATAGCCCATTACTGTTGTTGATTTGGGAACATATTAGGTTTCCACTGCCACTGAGAATGTTACAGAAGTCACAGGACCGATTCCATTATTTTATGGATAGTTGAATCCAAACTCTAAATTCAGAGTTGTTTTTATTTGTTTGTTTGTTTGTTTTTCATGGCTAGAAAGATTTTTATCCCTGCCCCTAGCTCTATTCCAAATGGTTATATTGAACTCAATCCAAGTAAGACTGCATGTAGGGCAGGAGTAAAAGCAAGAGTTCATATAGGGGAGTTGGAAAAGTGGGTTGATGTTGGAGCCTCTTTCTTTACATGGAAGTCAATCATTTCTGTTGCTTTCAGTGGAAGATGTAGACCTGGCCTTCTTGAGGAGCAGAGAAGACATTAAGCATGATAAAAAGGCATTTTTGAATGACAGTGAGTGGGAACTTCTTTCTGTGCCCTCAACATACAACATCCTGGAGAGCAGCGCTGGAAATTTTGCCCAGATTCAGTTTAATGTAGGTCCTTCTCCTTCCTGTCTCTATGGCCCACTTCTCTATAGGCTTTGGGCTGAGGAATCTCTCTCTGCTGCATCTGCACATTCATTAGTGCTCAAGGATAATTGATGCATATGGCTCTGGCCATCCACCTGCACTCCAGCACCTCAGTCACAGATCTGGCCTCCTGCGTAGATATTCCACAAGTGAACATAGAAAACATAAATGGCTGCCAGGCACCCAGAGGTCTAGAAGCCAAGACCTGGACCACTCTCCACAGCAGGAATTCTCAAACATTCTCAGTACACCCTAACATCTTCACTTTTAGTTACTGTTGAGAAAAATAAACCAACAGTAAACCCACACACCTCACTTTAAAAAAATGGGGAGAAGAGTATCTTAATAACATTACTATCACATTTTTATTATTAATTATTAATTCCAGATGCAGGTGCATAAAATTATCATAGCATTAACCTGAAAACTTTGAGGGATTAGCCGACAAACTACCTGTGAGGTCCTCAGAAACCATTGGTGGTCTCTGGATCAGAGAGGACATGAAGAGAACCCACTCTTCTCAGATATGACATTGGGAATGCTCTTGAGTGCACTGGTCATGGGGAAATGTGCCCAGCAGGGGCCTAGTGGGTAGTGGTGTGCAAGACAGTGCAGCCTAGTACTGTGCACTCCAGAGGCAATCTTTCTCCCTTCCCTGGTCCTCCTGGCAAAACTTCCTGACATGTAATCTGCAGCAAGTTCACACAACTGGTAGACCAACATTGTTAGTATTCAGCAGTGCTCTTTGCTTTTTCTACACGAAGTTATCTAGTGGTGGTAGTGGTGGAGTCCTGAATACTAGGTAATGGGTCCAATTGAAAAATAGACTTCAGGCAGATGAGATGAATTCTCCTAGAGGTCAAACCTTTTGAAAGCAAAAGAAAATTTAGACCAGATCAAGGCTCTATAGTTACTGTAGATAATTCTATTTAAGAGAGAGTGGAATAAACTATTATCAAGGGCACAGATGCCCTTCCATTGGTTAAAATGTGTTTTATACAGTTTTCCAGGCAAGCTTAGCAAAGCTCTTGTTAAATTACGGACCTCTCAGACATAGTTGTGATTTGAAGCAGACTACTGTCTAACACTGTGTACTACTAAATCATCATAACTACCTTCTAGTGGTGGGGTTTGGGTTCTTGCCTAGAATTCTGCTTGCCTTTCAGCAAAGCTTGCATTGTGGCCTGTTTGTCCACTTTTTTTTTTTTTTTTAAACTTAGGGAAAGAGAGGGAAAAAAGAAAGCTTTTTTAATTTCAATGAGTTTCTTGGCTAAGAGTAAACACCTCATTAATTTTAAAGATATCAGCCCGCAAACATTATTAATGCAGCCTGAATAATGGAAAGCATTAAAGGGAAATGTGAGGGAGTAGCACATGCAAGGTGGAACATAGTCACCTACCAAGCACTCCTGAGAATGCTGCACACACCATTACCTACACTGCACGGAGGAGACAAACAAAAGCAAGAGAAGGGGCAGGTAAACAGGAACACTCTCTCTCTTCTCTCTCTTTCTCTCATGCTCTCTGTCTCTCTCTCCATGGAAGCAGCTATTATTTGTAGTTACATGTTACCCTTCACCGCAAGAATTAATTTGTCTTCTCAACAGTTGTGAGATGTTTTCTGTGCACTACCTCTATTTTAAATATGACGAACAGAGATGGTCAAAGATTAAGGCAGAAAAGGCTTCTCTGGATCTCAGGAAGCATGGTCCAGTTCCTTTACTCTCTTTACTGTATTGCTTCCTCTCCATTTACAGGGTGTACACTGAAGGGTGCTGCAGGGAGGAGTAGATATGATTGCATGCCCTTAGAGCTTTTCTCTGGCTCCTCTTACCCTGGGGGCTAAGGTGGGCTATCCTGTAGGCTTCCATACTGGATCTCTGGAACAGAATATGGAAAGTATGCTGAGTAGAATCACAGATTGTATTTGGTAGGGCAAGGAGCAAACTCAGAAGGGATTCTGCAATTTTAGAAAGACTTCAAGAAGATTTGGTGACTGTTTTGGTTACCTAGTGCTGCTCTGACAAGAATATACCACAAATGGGATGGCTTTAACAAACAGGAGTTTATTCTCTTAAAGTTTGGAGGCTTTAAATCCAAGTTCAAAGTGTCAATCTCTAAGGGCTGGGTGAAAGCCCCTCAACCTTGGGGTTCAGCTCTGCCTCCTGCTCCCGGCTCACTGAAGTTAGAGGCATCTGTTCACTCAGACAGCTGCTGGCCACTGAGACTGACAAGCCCAAGGTTGACAAGTAAAAAGGCACAGTCCCACTATTACCAAACCACATGGCAGGCCATTAATTCAAGTCCATTGAAAGTCCCAAGGTTGGCAGAGCATGGCAGGCTGCTGAACAACAACATGGCTACATGCAGGGTTCAAGCGTGCCATAAGCTAGAGACCATTCCCAAAGCTGTTTCTTATATACAGGAAGCAGACCACATACCCAAAGCAGCTACTCAGCTGCTCCAATAGATTCCACCATGGAGTTAATTATCAATCTCACCATGGGAAATAACTACATCCAGCCACCCAGCCACTCAACAAGGCCCAGCCAAGTTGACACACAAACTTAACCACCACAGTGGCTTTCACAGTCTCTATTTCCCTCAGCCACTTTCATTCTCCATCCCTCCCCATTCCTGCTATGTGAAGCATGGTTAGGCTCATTATGTACTCTTACTCCATACCAGATATCCCACTCTGAAAAGCAACTGAGGCCATCAGGTGTCCTTCAATAGCCCTTGCCTTGGCCAGTGACATGAAATTCAGAGCTAGTCCCATGTTAACATTGGGCCTGCCAGCAAAAGGCCATCTCCCTCCTAATCTAATCACCCTCAGTGTCCCAGTCCAGGCTTCCCAGTAGGAGACTGGGAATAGGGCGGACAGGCAGGAGGAACGATGATCTATTCTAAATACATTGTTACCTTGGGCCTGATGTACCCTGCTGCCATTTCTGCTAAATTAGATGCTCCAGATGCCCCGTTAGCTCCAGCCAATGACAATCATATCTGCTGGCTCTGGAACACGTATTGTTTATCTAAGAGCTTGGCTGATGCTTTGGAACTGGGCTGCATTCCACAGGGGGCTCAGAGAACAGGCAATTCTCCCTATGAGGATGCCTGTGTGCAGACTGGGACCTGATTCAGCAGCTGTGGGAGGGGAGGTTTCCTCCAATACATTATTGGAGGTGCTGGTTCCCAGACACAGCAGGGTGAACCTTTGATTTCTGTATAGCAGTGCTTCCCCCCAACCCCCAAAAGATTGAAGTGGGAAGGGAATAGAAATAAAATTAGGAACTCATGTTGAATGGAAAAAGATGGACAATTGTGGTAACTAAACTGAGCTCAACCACAGAAATCCTCACACTGACTGAAGTGTTCAATCAGGCAGGAACTGGGATGCCTGCAGGGAACTCCTAGAAAGATGCAAAGGGGCATCCAGGAAGAAAGGCACTTCATTTATTTTCTTCTGTCATAATTTGCTTTCTAGATTAAGGTAGAGCAATTTTGTCTAGATACCCAGTGAACACAGCTCATAAACTTGATTGAGACCTTTCTGAGTATCACCAGCTTGAGAAAGTTGAGAGAGAGAAGAGAGAGAAAGGAGAGGAGAGGGGAGGGCAGAGATGAGGAAAGGGGAAAAGAGAGAGGGAGAGATCTCAAGAAATCTATCTGAGTCACTCCAGCAATCCTGGAATCATGGACTTTGTGCTAATCCAGCCCAACCCACAATCAAGATCTAAGAAGCACTCACTTGGGTACAAGGATCTTACTTAATTGGCAGCCACTTTCTCTTCCTTTCTGAATTGGGAATGTTGGGAGGGGGTTGGGTGAGGAGGAAAATGGGCTTCAATATGAAGCGTGGGTCTGGGCGTCAAAATTCCAACTATGTCATAAAGACGGTCATGCAAAATTGAGTACTGGTGGGCTCTACCATCATGGAGGCAATTAGAGGCTAACCTTGGGGCCTATTCCATCTCCCAGGAGCTCTCCACACACATATTCTGAATTAGATTGATCTCTTTCATTAACATCAATAGGCTCCAAATACCTTTGTGTACTTATTATTACCTGGCTTTAATGGATAATGAAATTGTGGCATAATATTGCTAACACCTGAAGGGTGTCTAATGGAGAACACGGACTGAAACTAAAGTGCTTTTTCTTCCTTTTCTGTGGAATTTAAAGGCACCAGCTCCTTTAGTCCATTAGAAATGATGAGCTCTAGGTAGGGGCAGTTCTGCAGAGCAGTTTCTCATTGCTCTGGTGACATCTCTTTCCCTCCAGCAAAAACAGAGGTTACAGCTCAAACATGACCTGCAGGGAGGTAGCCTTTGGAAGGACTGGACTCCATAGAGTATTCCCATTTGGGCTAACTCTACTCTCCCATCCCATTAAAACTAAAGGAAGCATTACCAACAAACTCCAACACAATTCAACCCGTGTTGGATTACCCAATAAGCATGGAAAGCATATGCTTACTTCCTTATTTACTAATCTGTAGTGAACAATTTCACATTTTTTTTCTTTACCATATCAAAGATTTTGCTTCTCAATATGGATGGCATCTGTCTTTCTCCCAACCCCACAGCACATTCCTACAGCATCAAAGCCTCTTTTTCAAATTTAAAATCTGTGATCAGTACAGATTAGTATGTAAGCATAACTAAACTCATGCTTACCTTGCTTATTGGTAATCTGCCCCTGAAGTCAAGAAACATCTTTTGAGCTTTTATCATGTGTCAGGTTCAGTGGTAAACACAGAGGACACAAAAATGAATAAGACAGGTTTCCTGATACATGTCATGGACCTCAAGATCTGCCCAGGGAGACAAAATTACAAATAAACACAAGTTTAATTAAGCACTTACTCTACTTTGGGCACCATTTTAAGAGTTTGTACATGTAATCCTCACATCCCTATGAGATGAGTGTTCTAAGTATATGTATTTTTACAAATCAAGAGA